TGACACTAGGTGATTGCAGGGACTGGTACAAGGAATGACTAGTCCTTTTTCTATGAAGCTGGTCACAGTTGGCCTGTGGCCTTCTGAGGCTTCAGCTCAAGAGAAATTAGGTAAAGATTTAGCAGAACTCTTTTGGCTTTTGGTCTTGTTATTGGACTCTGTCCATAGAATCTTTTCCCCATAGAGATTTTGGGACACAGTTCATTCTTGGTTATTTCTTGAATCATACGTAGTTTGGACAAATTAATATTCTGATCAGCCATAATTTGTGTATGGGAGAATTCTCTGGGATTTCTACAAGTCATCCTTCTGTAGTCCCACAAAAATCAGATCACCCAAACTACGAGCAAAACTGAGTTCTGGGGGCCACTTCCCAGTGGGACTGGGCATCCTCTCAGCTCCAAGGGGGGTTTCCATAAAAAGCGTACAGAGGCAGAGTTTTCACATTGAGACTGCCCGTGGCCCTTGGCTCTCTCCCTCACCCCTGACAGCTGAATAATTGACTTGATAAGAAACTACTACAGCAAATGCAAAGAAACAAAAAACAAACAATAAAACAAAGGTCCCAATATTAATATTAAAGGAAACTTGCTTATGTTTCTTAAAAAAAATATGGTATAGTGTTAGTACTGCAGATAAGAGGTTTATAGAGAACAGGTCCAAGATGAGCAGCAGAGACTAAGTAATGTATCAAACATGATAATTGTATCTCTGTTGTTACTGTTGTTATTTTTAATTAATTAATTTTTTAAAAAAAGATGTTATTTATTTATTTGACAGAGACACAGCGAGAGAGGGAACACAAGCAGGGGGAGTGGGAGAGGGAGAGGCAGGCTTCCCACCGAGCAGGGAGCCTGATGCGGGGCTTGATCTCAGGACCCTGGGATCACGACCTGAGCCAAAGGCAGACAGTTAACGACTGAGCCACCCTGGCACCCCTATTTTTAATTTATTTTTAAACAGCTCTTCTGAGATATAATAATATACTCTACAAATCGCCAATTTAAAGTATACACTTTGATGGCTTCATGTGGTTGTGCCTCCACTTCCACAGTTCATTTTGAATCATTTTTATCACCCTGAGAAGAAGGGAAGAAATCCCCCTAACCTTAGCCATAACTCCCCAATACTGCCATTCCCAAAGCTCTAGGTAACCACTGATCTGCTTTCTATCTCTGGATTTGCCTATTCTTGACATTTCATATGGTAGAATCATAGCATATGTGGTCCTTTGTGCCAGGCTTCTTTCACTTAGTGTCGTGTTTTCGAGGTCTGTCCACGTCATTCCTTTGTATGGCAGGGTGATATTCAGTGTACGGCCATACCACATTTATTCATTTATCAGTTGATGGATGTTGGGTTGTTTCTACTTTTTTGTTATTATTAATAATGATGCTGTGAACATTTGTGTACAAGTTTTGGTGAGGACATGTGTTTTCATTTCTAGGGGTGGAATTGCTGGGTCACATGATCACATGGTTTTAACCATCTGAGGGGCTGTCAGGCCATTTTCCAATTCTACCAGCAATGCCTGAGGGCTTCAGTTGCTCCAGATACTCATCAGTATTTTTTAATTAACTTTCTGATTGTGGCCATCCTAGTGGGCGTGAAGTGGGATCTAATTGTGGTTTTGATGTGCATTTCCCTGCTGGCTGATAATGTTGAGCATCTTTTCATGTACTTATTGGCCATCTGTATGTCTTCCTTGGGGAAATGTTTATTCAACACTTTTGCCCATTTTGAAATTTGTAAGAGTTTTTTTGTATATTCCAGATACCAGTCCCTTATCAGATATGTGATTTATAAAATTTTTCTCTCATTCTGTCAGTTGCCTTACTACTTTCTTGATAGCATCCTTTGAAGTACAGAAGTTTTAAATTTTGATGATATCCAGTTTTTTTTATCTTTAGTTGCTTGTATTTTTGGTGTCACATCTGAGAAACCATTGTCTAATCCAAGATCATGAAGATTTATCCCTATGTTTTCTTCTAAGACTTTTATAGTTTTAGCTGGACATTTAAGTCTTTGGTCCATTTTGAGTTAATTTTTATGTTTGTTGTCAGAGGTTCAACTTTATATGTTTGCATGTGAATATCCAGTTGTTCCAGCACCATTTATTAAAAAGATTATTCATCTGTCCTTTCTCCATTCAATTATTTTGACACGCTTCTTGAAAATCAGTTGAGGAAAATAAAATGAGGGCTTATTTCTGGATTCTCAATTCTACCATTGATCTATATGTCTGTCATTATGCTAGTATTCTGTTGTTATTTCTATTGATGAAAATAAGACAAAATTATTACAACCTAAAGCAAAAATATCAGACATAACACATCTCAACTCTTTGTATATATGTATTTAAGATTTTTTAAAAAAGATTTATTTATTAGAGAGAGACAAAGAGCATGAGAGAGAGAGAACACAAGCAGGGTGGAGGGGCAGAGGGAGAGGGAGAAGCAGGCTCCCCGCTGAGCAGGGAGCCCAACGCGGAGCTCGATCCCAGGACCCCAGGATCATGACCTGAGTAAAAGGCAGACACTTAACTGACTGAGCCACGCAGGCACCCCAAGATTTTTTTAAGTAATCTCTACACCCAGCCTGGGGCTTGAACTCATGACCTTGAGATCAAGAATCGCACCCTCCTCTGACTGAGCCAGCCAGGCATCCCTCAACTCTTTGTATTTTTATTAGCATACGTAACTGACACCAGATTAATTTCTTAAATTATGTGATTACTATGGTAACTTATAGAAATAATTGTAAATAATTTTAAAAATAAACCTAGAAAGTATAAGTACATTTTAATAGAAAATTACATTAGCAATCCTTTGTAGTCTTGGAGTTGCCTCATAAGCATCCCAGACAGATTGATGAATACTGGGGCCATGTATGAATTAATTCATATTTATTTTACTTGGTAGGTTTGCTCTTTAGTTATTGATACTCAGTGAAGTACAGGATTGGCATTTGCTATTCCGATACTGGACACATGGTATGGGATTTGTTGTGTTTTGTTGGGTGTTGTTGCCTGCTAAGATGCAATGTGTGTTTTGTTCTGTAACACTTTCTTCAGTGATACCTTAGTGATGTCCTGTTCTCTAGTGCTTATAACAAACCACTTGAAACTTCAGGTCTTTAAACAAGCACATTTACTTTGCTTATGAGCCTGCAGTTTGCTCAGGGCTTGGCAGGGGTGATTTGCTGCCACTCTGTAGTGTATTGGGGCCTCAGGTGGGGCCGCTCAAAGCATGGAGGGTTGGCACAGTGGGAGGCTCACGGGGGGCAGCTCTCCTCATGTAGTCTCAGGGTTTCTCACTGTGCCCTCTTTCTATGGTCTTTGCATCGTGGCAGCCTCAGCATAGTTAGAGTTCTTTCTTAGTGACTCTGGGCTTCTAGAAAAAGTGGCAAGAGACCAAGGTAGAAGCCTTGAAAGTCACACAGTGTTAGTTCTGCTGCATTCTGCTAGTTACATGAGTCACAGGGCAGGGACAATTCAGGGTTTGCATGCTGGAGGCATGGTTTGTGGGCAAGTCATCTCTGGAAACTGGCTACTGAAGGATGTAGCTAGATGTAGGTTTTTCTGTGGGGTTTCCAGGAGGTGGTTGGCTGTAGTTGCTCAAAGAAGGCTTTCCTCTGAAAAACAACCTTAAAATGACTTTCTATGAGTTTATGATGCCAAATGCTTGAAGGTTCAGTTTCCCCGCATATGTTTTCTTTACTAAAATTAGAGTATGTCATATACTAGAAAATATAATTGTCAGGTTCAGATTCATTAACAAAGAAGGCAAGTTCATGTCAGTGAAGGGAAAGTGAAATTATATACCAGATAACACTGCACCAATTTATGAGGCAAAACTTGCTGGACAGGCAAGCAGAAGTGGGAAAAAAATCTGTTAGGTTTAAGATACTTTAATATCCCTCTCTTGATTCTTCTCAGTCCAGATAGACAAAAATAAATAGGAATGTCCAGGACTGATTCCATAAAGTTGATCTGGTAGCATAGATAAAATTTTATATTCTGCCGTCAGATTGGAGTTAATCAAAGGGAGAACAAATAAGTGGTAAAATTCATCCTCCATTCTTGATAATTAACAGCAAACTGAAAATAGAAGAAAAATTCCTTAAACTAGTAAAGCTATCTATGAGGAGTACACGTGAGATGCGTCTACCTGTGAATTACTGGAAGCACACCCCTCGGAGTCAGGGAGGCCATGGCTGCTGCCCTGCTTCTCTTCCAGTTTGGCCTGTTCCTTTAAGTTAGGAACTTTAGTCCCTGTACTTACACCGAGCTAAAGAAGGGTCCCACCAACACATACGTAAGTACCCTGGGAGCGCTGATGCAGCCTGATGGGTGTTCGGTGGTACTGATAGAACCAGTACAAGCCGCAGCCTTGGGATTCCAGACGGAGCCCGGGCAGTCACCTGGTTTGATCTCCATGCTGGTTTTGCAGGGCCTCAGGCGTGAAGAAACATGATACTTGCCGACCCACACCAGGATGTAAAATTTAGAAAAAGAGCTTTTTCAGGATTGTGTTCATATTCTTTTTTGATCTCATGATTTCAGTTTGCTGTTGTGGTTCAAAGTCATTAGGATTTCACTCCCAGGATTGAAAATGGATTTTAGTGTCTTTGGTTCCAGATAAAGTAATACGCATCCACCTCAGTTTGAACCCTGACTGCCCAGAGCTGTTTAATCCAGTATTCTGGAGCATGCTGTGGTCAGGTTGCAGACGTACTTAGATTCCATGCTCTGTTCCACTACCGAGGCATCTGCTAATCACAAAGGACATTACTCAGCTATAACTGCTGTGGTTGTCAGTTACTCTTTCTGGGCTGTCAGCTCTGTGGATGATGCTGTTTGGTAGTACCTCGTGGGCTAGTCTGTGTTTTCATTAGGTCTGTTCAGGAAAAAATAGCAAAAAATACTCTGTCTCAGGCAGGCTTTTCCAGACTCTGAAATAACAGTGATTTTGATGCTTTGTTTTATCTTTCTGTTGCAGATGTTGCTGCCATAGCATGTGGTCGCGAATTCTTGGTTAACTCAAGTCGGGTGCTGTTGGACACCATACTGCAGCTTCTGGGAGACCTGAAGCCAGGACAGTGTACCAAACTCAAAGTGTACGGTGGATGATATTAAAAAGCTCATGTTTATTTACTTAATAGTTAGAATTTGCTGATTGGGCTTCTTTTTCAAGCAAACACAGTTAATTTGGCAATAGTTCTAAAAAAACAGAAGAAACACATTGCCCGGAGAATTAAGGAATGCAGCATTTATTCAGTACTGTTTTAGAAAAATCATAAGAAACGAAAACAATGTTCTTACCTTAGAGCAATCAGTGAGTCCCAGATGCTATTATGTGACACTTCAGTTTATATTAATTACCTCAAAATGAACTTCTACATATTTGTTACAGCAGTGTCCCACTGCCAGGTACCCAAATCTGTATTGGGTTTCTACTGGGTAACAAGTCTGGTGGTTAAAACAACACATCCTTCATGGTTCTGTAGGTTCAAGTCTGAGATGGCTCGCCCAGGTCTCTGACTGGGTCTCTGGCCAAAATCAAGGTGTTGTCCAGGCTGGACTCTTTTCCAGAGGCTCTGAGCAAGAGTGCTTCTAGGAATGTTCAGGCTGCTGGCGAATCCAGTTCCTTGCATTTGTAGGACTTAGGCGCCTGTTCCTCACTGGCTGTCACGTGGGGGCTTTTTTAGCTTCCGGGGCTGACCGAATTTCTGATCATATGAGCCACTCGTCTTCGAGCTCCGGCAGTTCACTGAATCCTTCTTACACTTGGGAGCTCTCGGACTTCCTCTTCTGCTACCAGCTAGAGAGAATGCTGTGCTTTTGATGGGCTCATGGGTTTAGTTAGGCATCATGGGATAAACTTCCTTTTGATGAACTCAGAGTCACCTGAGGAGTCACATCAGTTACGTTTGCAGTGACTCTCTGCCATAGAACTGACCACTACCAGGGTGTTACATTGTGTTCAGCCCGGGGACTAGGGCAGGAGATGTTGGGCCGTTTTAGGATTCTGCCTACCACACTGTTCATTCTGGGTGGGTGCTTTTCCTCCTTGGAACATTGTTTCTGATAGCTTCTTTAAAGTCTCTGTCATTTTGGTCTGGTGTCTCTTGGTTGTTTTTTCCCATACGAGTTGGGATTTTTCCCATTTCTTCATGTGCTGAGTAATTTGGGGTTGTATTGTGGACATTTGAATATTGTGAGACCCTGGGTCTTGTTGAAACTGTGGAGAATGTTGATGTTTTTATTTGAGCAGACTGCCTGGTTGGGTCCAGGTCACAAGCTCTGACCAGCCTTCTGGGTATCGTGCTTTCAGGGTCCCTTCCAGCTTCAGAACTGGCCTCTGGTGCCACCCGTGCCAGCCTGACACCTGGGTCATTGCTGGCGACTTACCCTCAGGCTGTGGTGTGCTGTTCGTGATTGGACTCACATGTGCACAGCCTGGCGTGAGGCCAGGGGTTCTGAAGAGCCTTGTGAGGTTACCTGCCCGATCTCTTTACTCTCCGCCGTGTGCTGGGTACTTGTTAGTTACCGTCCTTTGCCTGGAGTGCTGGGGTTCCACGTGCCCTGCTGTATCTGACTTCTGCAGCTTCCAGGGCTGGGGAAGATTTCCTTCCCACACAGCCGCGGTGATGTGGGGGCCCCACACCCTGCAGGGCCCCTTCCTGATACTCCAGCCTGAGTGGCGCTCTGTGCAAGTCAGTGCTGTGCCTGGGCTTGGGGGCTGAGTGGTAAACTTGCTGATGGGTTGCTGGTTCTTGCAATTCTGGACTTCTTCCCAGTCTGCCTGCTTGCTCCTGTTTACTTTTCTGGGGTTTCACGGAGCTGCTCCATATATTCTGTTCAGAATTCATAGCTGTGTTCAGTGGAAGCAGGAGGGTGGGGTGTGACTCCTACCTTATCTGGAAGCAGATTCTCGAGTCTATTCTGATATTTTGTGCTAACAAATACATGTCCATGAGCAATATGTAATACAACATAATGTCTAACTTGTGGTTTTGTGTATGTTTTTACACGTGACTCTGTGGATCTAGTTAATTCCTTTTACATATCTTGCATGAGAGAAGGTGTGACATTTGGGTCATTTTATCCCTGACGGGCACTAGGTTATTTTCAGGTTTTACTCCTCACGTGGAGTGGTGTAGTGAGCATCTGTGGCAAATACCTCCTTGCTCACCTGTGTGAGCGCTTCTCTAGGAGCTGTCCCTGAAGTGCAGTATTTGAGAAGGAAGGAAAGCACACTTTCAGGTTGATAAGATGCTGCCAAACGGGACCAAAGCCTGCACTTCACCCACACGGCAACAGTGTTCTGGGTCTCCCACACCTTCCTCAATGCTTCATTCTTTGTTACTGTCTTATAAAGAATGCTTGTGTTCTCTACATCTGTCTGCCTATGTCGAGATGGGTATTACCAGTGAGGTTGAAACTCTTTGCACAGGTTCAGAACAGGTTTTTTTCCTGTGAATTACCTGTTCATGTCTGTTGCCTTTTTTCTGTTGGGTTGTATTTTTCACGACTTTCTGTTGTTTTTTTATGTGTTCTGGATACTACACCATTGTTTGCATCTGTGGTCTGTACAAGGTCACTGTTTATGGGGCCAGTCAGCCCCCTGCTCCACTTCTGAGGCAAGGCTTTGTGTGGGGCTGCGACTCTTCTAGTCTCTGTGGTTCCAGCACATGGAGCTTTGTGCCTTTGCATCTTAGCCAGCCCTTGTCCTGCAGTGGGAGATGGGCAGACTTCCATTCAGAGACGTTTGCTTGCTTTCTTGGCAGTTTTCCATCTGCCAAGGGAGCAAAGCCCACGTATGGACTGTTCGCCTCAAACCCCACTTGGGATCTCTGCATGCTCCGTCCCGAAGCGGCTCTTCTCACTTCATAATCTCTGGCCGCCTTCTGATTTGCATGCTGCTTGGTCATGTTTTTTGTCACTGCTCACTCCTGACCTGGAGTCCTCTGGAACAAGGACCTTTCTTGTACTGTGAGTAAACTTCTCTTTTTGGCCTCTCTCTCTGGACTGTAACTTGCCTCTTTCCTGGGGATTTTGCTTTTCTTTTCAACTCTATGATCAAAGGCTACTCATTTTCAGCAGTTTGGGTGCCTCAGACCCAGAGATAGGGATTTAAAAAAAAAAAGACTTAAATTTTTTAGAGCAGTTTTGGTTTCACAGCAAAATTTGGAGGAAGATACAGAGATTTTCCATATACCCTCTGCCCCCACACATGCATAGTCTTTTCCACTGTCAACATCACTCACCAGAATGGTATTTTTTTTTTTTTTTGCCAACAGTGAACCTATATTGACATATCATAATTATCCAAAGACCGTAGTATACCTGAATTTAATCTTAGTGCTGTACATTCGGTTGGTTTGGACCAATGTGTTATGACATACATTCATCAGTACGATAACATACAGAGTGTTTTCACTGCCCTAGAAATCTGGTGTTCTACCTGTTCCTCTTTCCTCCCCCCGCCCCTGCAACCACGGACCCTTTACCATCTCCGCGGTTGTGCCTTTGCCAGAGAGTCCTGTTGCTGGAATCACACAGGACGCTGCCTTCTCAGACTGGCTCTGTCACTCAGTGATCCGCACTCACAGTCCCTCCGTGTCTTCTCATGGCTTTGAGTTTTAAGAGTTCTTTGTATATTTTGGATAATATTCCTTTATCAGATACGTCTTTTGCAAATATTTTCTCTCAGTCTGTAGCTTGTCTTCTTAGTTTCCTGACATGGTCTTTCAGAGAAGTTTTTAATTTTAATGAAGTCCAGCTTATCAATTATTTTTTTCACAGCTCTTGGTGTTGTGTCTACAGCAGGCATCACTGTATGGGTCATAGATGTTCTCTTATGTTATTCCCTGGGAGCTTTATAGTTTTGCATTTTACATTTGGGTCTGTGATTCACTTTGAGGTAATTTTTGTGAAGCATGTAAGATTTGTATCCAGATTCATTTTTGTGTGTGTGGACATCCAGTTGTTCTAGTGCCAGAAGAGACTCTTGTTGAAGAGACTCTCTTTGCTCCCTTGTGTTGCCTTTGTTTCTTTGTCAAGGATCCGTTAGCTATATTTGTGTGGGTCTATTACTGAGCTCTGTTCTGTTCCATTGGTCTATTTGTCTTTTCTGTCACCAGTACCCCACTGTTTTGATCACTGTAGCTTCATGGTGAGTCTTGAAGTCAGGTAGTGTTGGTCCTATAGCTTTGTTCTTCTTCAGTGCTGTGTTGGCTATTTTGGGCCTTTTGCCTCTCCGTATAACCTTAGAATCAGTTTGCTAATATCCACAAAATAACTTGCTGGGATTTTGATTGGGATTGCATTGCATCTACAGATCAAGTTGGGAAGAGCTGACATCTTGACAATGTTGAGTCTTCCTATCCATGAAAGTGGAATCAATCTATCTTTCTTTCTTTTTTTTAAAGATTTATTTATTTGAGAGAGAGAGAGAGAGAGAGGAGGGGCAGAGGGAGAGGGAGAGAGAAACTCCAGCAGACTCCTCACTGAGCTCAGAGCCTGATATAGGACTGGCTTTCACGACCCTGAGATCATGACCTGAGCTGAACCCAAGAGTTGAACGCTGAACCAGCTGTGCCACCCAGGGGCCCCAGTCTATCTATCTTTCTCCCTTCCCTTCCCTTCCCTCCCCTCCCCTCCCCTCCCCTCCCCTTCCTTTCTTTTTTTTCCTTTCTTGTCTGTCTTTCTGTCTTCCATTTATTTAGTTCTTTGGTTCATCAGAGTTTTGTAGTTTTCTTCATACAGATCTTATACATATCTTGTTAGATATATACTTGAGTATTGAATTTTTAGGGCTTGCTAATGTGAATGGTACTGCATTTTTAATCTCAAATTCTACTTGTACATTGTTGGTATATAGGAAAGCAGTTGACTTTTGTATGGATACTGGCATCCTGAAAACTTGCTGTAATCTTATTAGTTCTAGGAGGTTTTTTTGGTTGATTCTTTTAGATTTTCTACGTAGATGATTATGTCATCTGTGGACAAAGACAGTTTTATTTCTTTCTTCCCAATCTGTATACCTTTTTTAAAAAAAGATTTATTTGAGAGAGCGCATGCATGTGTGTGTGTGAGCAGGGGGAAGGGCAGA